CTTTGATGTTGGTGATATTGTGTAAATTTAGCTACTTACTCTTTATTTTGTGGTGTTGATTAAAATGGAAAGACATTTAAGCAGGTCATATCTTTATATTTTCCTTAGAGGATGCTATTTTATACTATTGACCTTTGAAGTTATGAATGTAAGTTTTGGAAATTCATATTTTTTAGTTTGGACTATAACTTTGGGGAATTGGACCAGTAGTTTAATATTACGTGGTGTTTGTATTGACTTGTGATTAGGCATTGCACTCCCTTTATTTATTAGCCTACCGAGTTTTAATAATTTCATCTATAATTGCCATGTTAATTAATAGGGTCTAAATGGGGATCAATTTGGGGCATACAATTTAAATAACAGCTTGAAAGTTAATACCATTCTTCACATTTTGTGAAGCAGAGTAGCATTAGGTTTGTATTAAATACAATAACTAAATATCGTTAATGATCTTTCTCGTCAATAATGTTAGTAAGAATGTGAAGTTGTGGTCTAAGTTGATTATTTGCAGAATAGTCGTTAGCTGTTACAACTTGAAAGTAAGCTGTTTATACCCTTTAAACTTTTGCTACAAGGACACATTGCACCTTGAATTTTAAAATTCAATATGCTTGCTTAAAATTGTCAAAACTTTCAAGTTAATTATACAAAGAAAGCCTGTATCAATTTAAATACTACCTTTTGATCTTCTATTTTATGGTACAAGTTATTTCATCGACAAATACCCTTAGATGCTTGCCAACTTCTTGCATCATTTCATCATTCAAGAGACATTTAGACTTGTGAAGACAGATTTAATTTGGAGAAATCCAGTACAATAGTTGTTGGCATTTTCGTGGAAAAAGTTGCATCGGGTAGATACTGTGGTTAATTGAGATGTGGTTCTAGCAATGAACACATTGGTACTGTCGCAAAGTGGAAAGTGGATTCAGTTGACGTTCCTGTACAGTTTCTTTTCTTGTTGCTCTATTTCTGCCTATATATCAATCTATAAGCCGTGGAAATAGAATAAAATTTTGGCACATTTTTTTAGATTTGTGCTATTATGGTTATATGTAAGTGATAATGTTGCAGTAATATGTAACATGGCTTGAGCACAAATCGAAAACATCTTAATATTGCTGAATGGCACTTAATTTCATAAATTGCTGATTGTAATTCATTTGGAACCTGTGTTAACTTATTAGTCACTTGAACAGGTTTGTAACCACTTTATTTTTGGGTTTCCTCCGTACTGGGAAGAATATGCTGACAAGTGCATGGCTGAAAATTCTCCCTCTAAGAATGTTTCAGAACATATTCTAATGAAATTATCTCCTCAGCCAGAAAGTACGTGATAGTCTTTAGCTGCAAAAATTTATTCTTGTGGAAACCAAATATTTGCGATGTTCTTTCACTGATCATTATTTATTTTTCGCTGTGCTGAATTTTGCAGCAGTAGCAGGTACTGGAGATTCTAGAAACAATATATCTGAACAAGATGAGAAGTTTGTATGCAAAGAAGCACGTGTAGACAGTCTCAACAGGGATCTCAGATTGACGCTGACCTCAAAGGAGGACAAAATGGAGATCAAGAGCATACTAAAAAGCAGAAAGAGAAAATATTCAGCTGTCAGTTCATCCCAAAAGCCTAGCAGTGGTACTGATGACTATCTGTTTGGTCTTGATACTTCAAGTGCGTCCAGCATTGGTCCTGGATGTCCGAAAAAGAAATCTTCTTCTAGAGACTGCACTATTGAAAATGCCAAGACTTTGGATATATCTGGAAATTGTCTTGTCCAGCAGTTGTCAAATATGGTTGAATTTGCAAAGGGTAAGAACTCTTCAGAGGGGATTTTAGGTCATTCTGAGGCTGGAGTGTCATGTTCAACAAGGAAATTGGTGAAGAAACGAGAGGATTATCAAATGTCACTGAGGACCTCAGGATATGGAAAAATCGGGTTAAATTCTTTTTCAGTAGTTGGCTCTGAGAAAGCAGAACACTCCATAGCGAATGTCAATTGTGAACTTGGAAGCAGAACTAATTTGCACTTCGCAGCTGTGGGACTCAAGGTATCCACAGATGAAACAAATTCAAGCGAGTTAGATGCTGACTCTGTTGATAAATTTGGACATAAGATCATGGATAAAGAATATCCCTCTGAGGATACTGTGCAACGTAATCTGGCTCTTCGAAAGTTATCCCCTCGATTGGAAAGTAAGTAGCATCTCTTTCATGATGAGTAGTTGGTAGAGTGTTCTTTTTAGTCTGAACCCTTCATTGAGACTCTCATTAATTGTCTTTCCTTGCCTTGCCACATCTTCCTTTTTCACTGATTTTGCAGCGGTGGTAGGTGAGGAAGCACGTGTAAACAGTCACTGGAGGGACTTGGGATCGATACAGGACAAAATGGATTTTGAAGGCATGCTTGAAAGCACACAGACAGATTCTTTAACTGTTCTTTCTCCCCAAATAGCTAACAAAGTAGTTAAAGATGCTAAGAACAAGCTTCATGTTATTGATACTTCGAGTGCTTTCCCAATATCTTCTGGAGGTCCAGAAAAGGAATCTTCTTTTGGAGACCATGTTATTGAAAATCCAAGAACTTTGGAAATGTCTGAAAATTATCTCGGTAACAGAATAAAAGCTTTGGCGTCATCAATGTTAGGGCAGAAGATCACTGCTTCAACTATAGTTTACAAGGATGCAAGCAGTTCCGGAAATCATGAGATCATGGATTACCATTCATCTAAGATGATTGAGGATCATGCAGAAAGGAACCCCATCTCTGCTTGTCATTTAAATAAGAAAAGCAGATGCAAGAATGCCTTTGATAACCAAAAATTAGTGAAATTAGATGAGCATTTGTCCAATAAAACTAGCTTTAGCGAGGATATCAGCTCTTCAGAGGAGGTTTTAAACCATGCCGATGGTAGAGCATTAACACGTTCAATGAGAAATCTAGAAAGGAAATGGAAGGATGATAAGTTATCTCTTAGGATATCAGATGATGGGGAGATAAGTTCAGAATTCGTTTCTGTAGTTGGCTTTGGCAAAGCTAAAAGTGATATAGCCAGTGCTGATGGCGAACCAGGAGCCAGAAACAGCCTGAATTTCGCAGCTAATGGATGCAAAGAGCCGACTGATGCAACGAATTCCGAGTCTTATGTAAATCAACCTAAGTTTGACCAAAAGGCCAAGCCTTCAATTCAGGATAAGGACTGCAGAGCCTTTATAACTAAAGCTAGCACAAAAAAGGGTAAAAATAGAGGAAAGTCATCCACTAGGTCTGCTGCTCCAGATAATGGAAGGAAGAACAATGCAATTGGTAGTCTAAATAACATCTCTAGAAATGCTAAAGCATCCAGGACAGAGGCTAAAAGAAAATTGACATATGTTAGTAAGCTTTTCATAAACATCTACACATTAATTCTCTGTCCTTGATTATAGCGGTTTCTGTTGATTACCTATGCGAACTACTTTGTAAAGTTATGGGTCCAAATCTACATGTTCCAAGAGAAGAGAGAAGAAATATACGATGGATTGATTGGTGGTGGGCTGGTGGTATGCTGCCTTGTACACAAACAAAAACATATCATATTGTCCTTCCATCACCCTTAATTTGCAAAATTTGTGTTGGTCATGCCTGTAAACAAATTAGGACGCGGTCTCTGAAAATTGAATAGCAGTCAGACAGTGTTGCCATAGGTGGTGGGCTGCTGGCATGCTGCATTGTACACAAACAAGAGCATACCATAGTCCTTCCATCACCCTTAGTTTGCAAAATTTGTGTTGGTCATGCCTGTGAACAAATTAGGATGCGGTCTATTCTGAAAATTGAATAGCAGTCAGAGAGTGTTGCCATAGTGGGTATGATTGAAAAGCGAGAGCCTATGCAGATAATTGTGGAGGCTTCCTGGTCCAAGTTGGTTGTTCAGCAAATCTAAAACTCATAGTGGATGCAACCATAAAAAAAAATAAAAAATTGCAGTGGAGGTTATTACGTAAAACCCAATATTGTTTTCATTCCAACTGGTTTTTGGTACTCTTGAGTGAGACTTGGGCTCTGTGCTTTTACCAATTGGAAAATTTAGGTGTTATAAGAGTGATAGATTTGGTGTGATGACAGTTAACTTCATTAAAGCGATGAGAACAAATTGTTAGTGAATCAGAAAATGCTAATGGTAAAAAGAAGAGGAAGATATAGAAATAGGCTTGGTTTGCATCAGTTACTCCAAATGGCTTGCACCTACGTGCTTTAGTTACAAAATATAAATGTTTGGGTGGTTATATATAAAACACTCTGACCTGGAGGTTTTCTAAGGACCAGAAACTTAGAATTATTATGTTTATTGTGTTACCAGAATTTTGAAGCGTGATCATTTTCTTAGCGACCTCATTGATATAAATGCCAAGTTTTAGCGATGAATACCTGCAAGCCATGTTCTGTTTTGAGATTTCATGAATGCTTTAGAGCTTGAAATGGCTTCTTGTCTTCTGTTAGGATAATACTTCTATAAAGTAATTTGGTACCACTTCTTAACTTTGTTCTACTCTAGCAAATTTGGTCATGTTACTACATTTATCTATTTCCTTTTTTTATCCCATCTGGTTCAGGACACTCCAGAGAAAGGAAAGGAGAAAGTTTCTGTTGATTCTCCTCAATATTTCAGTTTTAACAGATCAAGATCAGGTATCTCTGCTGCCAGTGTCTGTTACTCTTTCCTCAACCCACTCTTTGCAAGCTTGCAAAGCAGTGCATGTTTGTCCTTCTTTTGTCTTAACTTCCAGTATCTGCATATTATATGTATTACATCATATTTAATTGCTGTGAATGACGTGATATCACACTTTTCTTCTTTTAAGGGTAGGGGGAGGGTATGTAAATAATACTAGTTTGTTGATGTTTAGTGACTTTATATGTGACTGAAAATTTCTGTTTATGTCCTTTATGTGATTTGATGTTTTGCAGGGAGATTGCTTATGCCTACCTTGGAATTTTGGCGTAATCAGAGGGCGATTTATGATGCGGTTTGTCATGACTTTTAGAGATATTCTTCTAGAATCTAGTCTAATTAATTGTCTCTCTGTTTGTATATCTTGGTTCCACAGATCTAGTTATGCAGTTGGCAACAAACACATAAATTCATCCGTATGTATAAAATTGTGGCTGCATCCACCCTCGGGCATGCAACTAAATGTTTCTAGTGAGTTTGTAGTTGAAATTTGTTGGGTGGGTCTATCTCTTTTAAGTTTCACTATTAACTGGTAACACAACTGATATAATAGGATTGTTTTGCTCACCTAATACAGGTATAGAACTTTTGACCACCATTGTTACCTCACATCTACATAAGTTAAAAGTGGTTAACGGTTCTCATTGTTTGCAATAGTATGGGGTTGGCATTTATGGTCTCCAAGTAACAGTTCGCAATGGTTATGTCTTAATTTAGTATGTTTGACAAGCTTTGTGGCATTTTTATATGAGACCCTCAGTTTCTTGCTTATTTTAATGTGAAACAATTTTATTATTAACTTTTACAATGGAAGTGTTCTGATTTTCGGGATTAAATTTGCATCTGATGTAATTTTTTTGTCTTCTTATGAGAAAATCCTAATGTTGAATTAACACTTGTGTACATTGTGCAGGATCGTACTGTTACTGAAATTGGGGAAGGCCTGCGCCTAGGGCAGCAGCCAATTAGAGGGGGTATGTTGCTTAGAAAATCATTTCACATAATACATGGCGATGATGTGTATCTAAGCCCATTTTTTGTTTGTTTCTACCCATATTAATGTCTGGTGGGCCCAAAATTATTTGATATGAGTACATGTTTGGCAAAGCTTGTAAATTGTTTATAAACCGATCTAATTCTAAGTTTTTTTAAATGTTAAAGCATATAATTGATGATAAAGCAAAAAGTTAATGCACGTTGGATCTTGACCCATTGACATTGCTATATGTATTTGTTGTAATCCCGGATATGTGGAAGTAGTCCATAATTAGCATTATCTATTTAGGAAAATTATAATTCTTGTAATTAGGGAAGATTGCAGGAGATCTTTGCATTGATTTAAGAATATTGTTTTTTCCCTTTTATTTTATTTATTTATTTATTTTTTTAACTATTTTGTATACTATATAAGGCTATTTTGTATACTATATAAGGCTGTAATTAGGGTGTAATTATTCATTGAGAAATAAAGAGGAATTCTCTACAATTCACAATATTTATCCTGTGACTTTAGTTGTTTCAAGGCTCCTTAATCTTTTATTGTCTGGAGTCTTTTGAGTGTCTTTTTCTTTTGTATTTATTATTTGTTGTGAATGATGGAATAATTACAAATAGTATGCCCCTGGTCCATCCATGTAATTTATTTTTGTTTTACACCGCATAACTCTTCCTCATGCTTGGGACATGCAGAGCACAAGTACTAGTATGTTGAATCTTTCGAAACTGAATAATTTTGTGACGTGACTAAATAGTATCCTTTTCTCTTTCTTACGTAAATCTGTGTAGAACAGGTTTCTCCCCAATCTTATCAAGTTTCAGAATTGTTGATTTTTGTTAAATAACTGCCCAAAGTTCTACTAAAATTGATTGGAAAATATTGATATGCATATTAATATCAAGTATTTATTATGATGTCCTTTGGAAACTTCTGTTAGGAAGTAGATCAGAACCTCAGAGAAAGAGAAGGAAATTTTATTGAAAGAATTATGCAGCTCTTGTTCGATTACAATTGGAAGGTACGTAAGCTGAAGAGAAATCATTTAGTTGCCAACTTAGTGCATGGACAAATTTAGGAGTGTTTTCTTTTCAAATTAGAAAATTGTCCACTGCAAAAATATGTTAATATTCAGGATGTTGACGGAGAATATGAGAAGTCTTTAGTTTGGTCAAAAGGCAAGCTAGATTGCTGTAGGGGCCATCTTCTATAACTAGATGCAGTGAGGAAATGGTCTTGGATGTTTTTCGTCCATTGGCCATGATAAGTTTTTCCCATTTTTCATCCTTGAGATTGAGATATGGGAAGTTGGAAACACAGAGAAAGTGAGTCCTCTGATTTGGAATTGAAGACGTACTTTGAAAAAAATAGGATACAATACATTTCAATTTAACTTGGATTTGTTTAGTTTAAATTAGATTACTGATTTTTTGATAAGTTTGTATCCATGAAATGGAACCTAGGATTTTAATTTACACTATTGATCTGAATTTTTCTCTTAAATTCTCATCTATTTCCCCTCTTTCCCTCTCTCTGTCAAGTTCTGCATCACCTTGGTAGGAGCAAATTTCTCTTTAATTCTGCTTAAATCACTGTCAAGTGCTTATAGATTTTGTTTCAAAAACTGCTTTTGGCTCATGACTAGGCAAATTCGAGCTTAAAAGAGTTCAAGCCCACTAAATGAACTCATGCTTTCAAGCAGCTAATGTTTCTGCATCATCACAAGGATCCTTCTGTATTGTTCAAGGGAATAGATTAGAGTTACTGAACTCAAATTTTTAGCTGCTCTGCATTCAATTACATGAATCTTTTTTATTCCAGAGCAGGTTGCCCTTGCTGGTCGACACGCTTCCAAGCGAGTTGGATTCTTGATCGAAGAAGCTTGTCGTGTTAATATAACTGTAACCATATGTTTTTGTAACGTAAATTCAAGTATTCTGTGGACTTGAATTGAATACTAGGTCTAACAATTTGAAGTTGAGTACTTCTTGGTATTTATTTTTATTTTCTATCTTCTACAGTATAAAGTACATTATTTATAAAATTAATAACTTATTTATTTTTATTTTTAATTATTAAACAATTTATATGTTTCAAATTTTAATCATTTATAAAGTATGGACGTTGGCAAGCTCATGTCCAATGCTAATTCAAATATATCCTAAAAGTACATATTTCTTATTTTGATAACCAGAAAAAGTGCATTAATCAATATTGAAGAACACGTGATTAAAAAAAAAAAAAAGAGAGAAAAATGTATTTTTGAAATAATGTGGATCAAACAAGTGTAAGCGTATGTTATTCATTTAACTGGAGAAATCGCATATTGACACTAAGTTCTACGTAATGTCAATCTTCAACCATGAGAACGAGGGAAAATTGATGATTCCTAAAAAATGTTAGAACCAGTTGTTTATCAAGATAGTATTCATACGATGTATTTTGTGAAAAGTGATTATCTATACTAGTTGTTGCAACCTTCAATTTTTCCTTTTATCTAAGTAGGGGAAAAAAAAATTATGATCCGTTTGATGTATTTTGTGAAAAGTGATTTTTTTTAAAAAAAAAAAGATTTATAGCCAATATAAATAGTCAGATTTTGTCTGTATCATGGTGTGCTTTCCCTACTTCAACGGAAAGGGTTCCTTAAGCACTAGACTGAATACCTTGATTCTTCCTCTTCTCCTCCCTTGAAACTAGAATGGAATACAAACAGTAGGGGAACAAAGGATCCTCTGTCTTAGACCCCTGCCAAGTGGGAAAGATTCCATGGCTTGAACGTCTGCCACTAGCTCTTGAATGAGTCCACCTTACACTATACCCCTATTGGATCTCGATTTAAGAGAGAACACTTTCTTTTTTTAGTGGATGAAAGGATTGTGTGAGAGATTGGCTTGTGAAGAACACGTGATTAAAAAAAAAAAAAAAGGGAGAAAAATATATTTTTGAAATAATGTGGATCAAACAAGTGTAAGCGTATGTTATTCATTTAACTGGAGACATCGCATATTGACACTAAGTTCTACGTAATGTCAATCTTCAACCATGAGAACGAGGGAAAATTGATGATTCCTTAAAAATGTTAGAACCAGTTGTTTATCAAGTTAGTATTCATACGATGTATTTTGTGAAAAGTGATTATCTATACCAGTTGTTGCAACCTTCAATTTTTCCTTTTATCTAAGTGGGGGAAAAAAAAATTATGATCCTTTTGATGTATTTCGTGAAAAGTGATTTTTTTTTTAAAAAGATTTATAGCTAGTATAAATAGTCAGATTTTGACTGTATCATGGTGTGCTTTCCCTACTTCAACGGAAAGGGTTCCTTACGCACTAGACTGAATACCTTGATTCTTCCTCTTCTCCTCCCTTGAAACTAGAATGGAATACAAACAGTAGGGGAACAAAAGATCCTCTGTCTTAGACCCCTGCCAGGTGGGAAAGATTCCATGGCTTGAACGTCTGCCACTAGCTCTTGAATGAGTCCACCTTACACTATACCCCTATTGGATCTCGATTTAAGGGAGAACACTTTCTTTTTTAAGTGGAAGAAAGGATTGTGTGAGAGATTGGCTTGGGCTATTTGAATACTCTTGCAAAAAATAAAAAACAATACTCAACACCCTTATGAGGTAATGTTGAGTTAAACTACTCGCTCTTGGGGTGGGTCATTCCATCAAATCTTTGAGAAGGAGCCCAATCTCGTATTTGAAGGTTGGCATGGCAAAGGTAAAGAAAAATTAGCCCGCTGTAAGTCTCCCATTTTCCTTCTCATTATTTTTCTCTCTTCTATTTTCAATCATACAATTTTCCATAAAATAATATTATACGCAAATAAAAAAACTTTTCATTTTTTTTAACCAAGCGTTTAAAAAAAAAAAAAACTATTCTAACCATTAAAATTTGACAAGAATGGGGGCCAAATGGTTATATATTTATATGCAAAATTATTTTATTAAGATAATAAATGATTCAAGAAAAAATGAAGAAAAGTAATTTTTAAAAAATTTGTACCAAATGAATCTTATTAAGCCCCCTGTTTGACATCAACTTTAATGAGTGTTTTTGGAAAATAATAATTTTTAGGAGAATGTGCGGTTAAAAATATGAAAAAAAATTATATTTATATGCAAAATATTTTAGAGTAATGTTATTCATCACCACCAATATTAAGCATTTGTTTAGATGATAATTACGTGACGTTAAATGATAGATTCATTTAAATGTAAAATCACGTGACTTATTGAATTGAATCTATAAAATAATGCTATCTGGACTGATATTCTAACACCATTAATGCTAAATAACATTATTTGATAAATAAAAAAATTTTCGCAGCTCCCGTTTGAGCCCGATTTTTTGGAAATAATGTATTTTAGAATAGTGACTTTTTTAAAAATATGTAATTAAAAAATAAGAATTTTTTTTTGAATATACGTATAAAATTATTTTACGGTTGAATGTACGATAAAAAATAAATTTTAAAAACGAAAGCTTCAAACAGTGACTAAAGTTCAAACCTCAAACCAAAATTCCAAAACGAACGCTTTACCAAAATAAGTTCTTTAAAAAAAAAAAATAATAATTCTCTGAACAAATCCCCCTCAACAAAACTGGACCACCACCCATAAAAAAACCACGATCCGCACCATCGAACCAGAATCCGACTATCTACCCTTGATTCATTCCATTATCAACAGATCACAACCAAACTAGTTAAATGACGCGGATCGAAATTCTTGTCCGTCGATTAACTCTCGAAATCCAACGGTTGCCACGTGCTCCCATCCCCTCACGCTCCCTATATAATCACTCCAAATCAATCAGCCCACCATCGCATTACCTTTATAGCTAATTCTAAGATTTGAATTTTCTACGTTCTTCGGATACCAGAAAAATGTCAGGTCGGGGCAAGGGCGGCAAGGGTCTGGGAAAGGGTGGCGCAAAGCGGCATCGTAAGGTGCTGAGGGATAATATCCAGGGTATAACTAAGCCGGCCATCCGCCGTTTGGCTCGAAGGGGTGGCGTCAAGCGTATAAGTGGTCTAATCTACGAGGAAACTCGAGGTGTTCTCAAGATCTTCCTTGAAAATGTCATTAGGGACGCTGTTACCTACACAGAGCATGCCCGTCGGAAGACTGTTACTGCTATGGATGTTGTGTACGCGTTGAAGAGGCAGGGCCGTACCTTGTATGGTTTTGGCGGTTAATAGTTGCTATCGGGTTCTAGGGTTAGGGTTTGGCGATTGTAAATGGGGGTTTTCCTTGGGATCTCTGGGATTTCAATTAGTGTTGTTTTTTCATCAGATCTTAAATTAATGAAAATCTCTTTTCATTTACGCCACATTCATCTTTTCTAATGATTTGTCTCTGAAATAGATAGGAGAAAAAGAATTTTATGCATAATTTTGCTTAATTAACAAAACGAGATTGGACTGTTCGGGCGATTGAAAAACTGGCACTGAAGGACTGGTACGCATTGCTGATTGAATGTGCTTGACTCTACATGAAATAGTGATTTGTTTTTGCCTTAATTCAACCCAATCCCGTATTTGATGGTCGGCGTGGCGAAGGTAAAGAAAAATTAGCCCCCCATTTTCCTTCTCCTTATTTTTCTCTCTTCTATTTTTAATCATATAATTTTCCATAAAATAATATTATATGCATTTAAAAAAAAAAACTATACCAACCATTAAAATTTGACAAGAATGGGGGCCAAACGGTAATATATTTATATGCAAAATTATTTTATTAAGATAATAAATGATTCAAGAAAAAATGAAGAAAAGTAATTTTTAAAAAATTTGTACCAAATGAATCTTATTAAGCCCCCTGTTTGACATCAACTTTAATGAGTGTTTTTGGAAAATAATAATTTTTAGGAGAATGTGCGGTTAAAAATATGAAAAAAAATTATATTTATATGCAAAATATTTTAGAGTAATGTTATTCATCACCACCAATATTAAGCATTTGTTTAGATGATAATTACGTGACGTTAAATGATAGATTCATTTAAATGTAAAATCACGTGACTTATTGAATTGAATCTATAAAATAATGCTATCTGGACTGATATTCTAACACCATTAATGCTAAATAACATTATTTGATAAATAAAAAAATTTTCGCAGCTCCCGTTTGAGCCCGATTTTTTGGAAATAATGTATTTTAGAATAGTGACTTTTTTAAAAATATGTAATTAAAAAATAAGAATTTTTTTTTGAATATACGTATAAAATTATTTTACGGTTGAATGTACGATAAAAAATAAATTTTAAAAACGAAAGCTTCAAACAGTGACTAAAGTTCAAACCTCAAACCAAAATTCCAAAACGAACGCTTTACCAAAATAAGTTCTTTAAAAAAAAAAAATAATAATTCTCTGAACAAATCCCCCTCAACAAAACTGGACCACCACCCATAAAAAAACCACGATCCGCACCATCGAACCAGAATCCGACTATCTACCCTTGATTCATTCCATTATCAACAGATCACAACCAAACTAGTTAAATGACGCGGATCGAAATTCTTGTCCGTCGATTAACTCTCGAAATCCAACGCTTGCCACGTGTTCCCATCCCCTCACGCTCCCTATATAATCACTCCAAATCAATCAGCCCACCATCGCATTACCTTTATAGCTAATTCTAAGATTTGAATTTTCTACGTTCTTCGGATACCAGAAAAATGTCAGGTCGGGGCAAGGGCGGCAAGGGTCTGGGAAAGGGTGGCGCAAAGCGGCATCGTAAGGTGCTGAGGGATAATATCCAGGGTATAACTAAGCCGGCCATCCGCCGTTTGGCTCGAAGGGGTGGCGTCAAGCGTATAAGTGGTCTAATCTACGAGGAAACTCGAGGTGTTCTCAAGATCTTCCTTGAAAATGTCATTAGGGACGCTGTTACCTACACAGAGCATGCCCGTCGGAAGACTGTTACTGCTATGGATGTTGTGTATGCGTTGAAGAGGCAGGGCCGTACCTTGTATGGTTTTGGCGGTTAATAGTTGCTATCGGGTTCTAGGGTTAGGGTTTGGCGATTGTAAATGGGGGTTTTCCTTGGGATCTCTGGGATTTCAATTAGTGTTGTTTTTTCATCAGATCTTAAATTAATGAAAATCTCTTTTCATTTACGCCACATTCATCTTTTCTAATGATTTGTCTCTGAAATAGATAGGAGAAAAAGAATTTTATGCATAATTTTGCTTAATTAACAAAACGAGATTGGACTGTTCGGGCGATTGAAAAACTGGCACTGAAGGACTGGTACGCATTGCTGATTGAATGTGCTTGACTCTACATGAAATAGTGATTTGTTTTTGCCTTAATTCAAAATTCAATAGAAACGGAACATCATTCTTTTGATTCGCACCTCTGAACTGCGGTCTGTTTTTGTATTAGTATTCAGAGTCTTGAATTGCGAACTTTCTACGTATTTATTTCATTGTAACATTTTTATCTTTTTCTTTTTGCGTCAATTGTCTGTAAATTGAGGATTTTTCTTGCAAACATCAAATTATTATACAGGAGTGAATAGAATTTTGTTTGATTAATCTCAATTAAGCATATTTTTAGGTTCTAAATAACTTATCAGAAGACGAATGAAGTTGGGAAATTCAAAGAAAACGATAACTTGGATTTGTTTATGTGCTCAATTGTACGCGAAAATTGCTAGACGACTTGTGTGGTTGACACCACGGCTGGCCATCCTCTCACATGCAGAGTTGGGTTCTATTGAATAAAATAATACTGACTTTTCCATGTGTGTGAGGTGTCAACCTTGTGGTCAAAGCTCGTGGGCTATGGAGCACAACCCTTTAAAAGCAAACGTTTTCTGGATGGGCAAAATGAAATTTCGAAGAATTCGTACAAATGTTGGATCCCATTGAATAAAATAATACTGACTTTCTTGTGTGTGGGGGTGTCAACCCTGTGGTCAAAGCTTGTGGACTATGCAGCACAACCCATTAAGAGCAAACGTTTTCTGAATGGGCAAAATGAAATTTCGAAGAAATCGGACAGAAATTTTCATCTTCGACTCAAATCTTCTTAACTAATTCATTCAATTGGTAATCCCAACTCGGTAATCCACATCCAAAAAGTTCTATATCTACATCTCAATTAACTGAAATTTACACTGCACAATTATCCCAAATTAGTGCGAACCCTAGATTTTTTTCCTTATTCAATTAAAATTTGGCCACGAGACAGTAAGGAACATGGAGGACCCGAGAAGTACAGAAACCGAAGGGTATGTAATTATGGAGGAAGCTCTTTTTCAGGACTGGAGGAAAGACCACAAAAAGCTAAATATTTCAGAGGAAATACACAAAAATGACTCTTCTACTGTGGTAAAATTTGACATTGACCTTTGACCCATTAAATGAATTAAAAAAAAAATTAAGTTAAAAAAAAAAACTTCACAATAAAAGCCCATTTTACCCTTCAGACTGTTTGAAAATCTCTCACCGACCGCCGACCGATCGACCAGTGCCGAAATTCGACCGACCGACCACCGGAGTTACACCAACGTCGCAATCAACGACCATCATCTACAGTGGAAATAAAAGAACCGGTTAGTTTTCTGATCTTTTCTCCTGTTCGAATGGTTTTCATAGTATAGCACTTTTCTTAGTAATTTTGGTTTAAATTAGATCCATGGGCATGAATAGTTAGATTGTGGGCATACTGAAGTGTGAAAAATGTGAATTTTTGGCATTTTTTGGCCATTCCCAGCCGCCGGCTCGTTAACAGTCGGATACACCGACTACTAACAGTCTGGGCCGGTGAACCGGCCAAGATTAAATATTTAATTTAAAATTTTTTTATAATTTTTGTAATTAATTAAATTTTTTATTTGATTAAATAGTAATTATGTTATTTATTTATTTAATTTTTTTTATCATTGTCAATATAATATAATAATTGAAATATTGTAAAATTAACAATGTTGATTCTATTTTTTTATGAAATTATCTTTAATTTTTTATTTCAAATTTATTTAATTTTTATATTTGTCTTTTATATAATTTAATAATTAAAATATTGTAAAATTAACAATGTTGATTCTATTTTTTTATGAAATTATCTTTAATTTTTTATTTCAAATTTATTTAATTTTTATATTTGTCTTTTATATAATTTAATAATTAAAATATTGTAAAATTAACAATGTTGATTCTATTTTTTTATGAAATTATCTTTAATTTTTTATTTCAAATTTATTTAATTTTTATATTTGTCTTTTATATAATTTAATAATTAAAATATTGTAAAATTAACAATGTTGATTCTATTTTTTTATGAAATTATCTTTAATTTTTTATTTCAAATTTATTTAATTTTTATATTTGTCTTTTATATAATTTAATAATTAAAATATTGTAAAATTAACAATGTTGATTCTATTTTTTTATGAAATTATCTTTAATTTTTTATTTCAAATTTATTTAATTTTTATATTTGTCTTTTATATAATTTAATAATTAAAATATTGTAAAATTAACAATGTTGATTCTATTTTTTTATGAAATTATCTTTAATTTTTTATTTCAAATTTATTTAATTTTTATATTTGTCTTTTATATAATTTAATAATTAAAATATTGTAAAATTAACAATGTTGATTCTATTTTTTTATGAAATTATCTTTAATTTTTTATTTCAAATTTATTTAATTTTTATATTTGTCTTTTATATAATTTAATAATTGAATACATAATATTGTTCGAAATTAACAATTTGTTTTGTTCCTTTTATTATTCTTTTATGAAAGTCTTTGATTTTTTTTCAATTTATTTAAATAATATTTATATTCTTTAATCTTTTTGACAATACATTTAATTTGACTTGATTTGTTGTTTTTTGTAAATATATTTTTCAAATGTAATATTTGTGATTGTATGGTAGTTAGAGTTCGGTTCTCTTGATTTTGTGAGATTATGCTTTCTTTTGTTATCTCCTGTTCAATGCTATAACATTTAAATTTTTGCAAGATGAAGTATCATTTGGATGCAGAGTTGAGACAGATGTCGGGGAAAGCTACTTGGAACAGTAGCTTTGAGAGTTTTACTGCTGTGTTGGAGCTGTTCGATGATCAGCACAGAGATATGCTACGACAGACCTTCTTGTGGCCACTGTACCAGTTGCGAGAGGTGCAGTACTCAGGAGAGATCATTGATGCACTTCTATGTCAGCTTCTGAGGCCAGTCGACGGCGATTCCCTCCAGTTCAACCTCGGGGGCAAGGTCGTCAGTTTCTTTATGTTTGAGTTTACATTAATCACTGGACTAAGGATTACGGGCGACGATGCAGCCATGGAGAGAAGCAGTAAGCTGTACGAG